AACATGTGCAGACAAAAACGCGAAATGACTCATGGCTTCGAGAGCTTGGGCGTGGTTTCGCGCCAATGCAGCACCGCTGGGCGTTGGAACGGGCGTTGTCGGCGTCTTCGCCTGCTATGCCACGGAGACCCACCGGATGGCGCGCCAAATCCGCAGAGGATGCTTCCAACCAAAGGCTCCTGCGGACTACGACCACCGGTTTTGCCCGTTCGACAGGTACATGATGGAGAAAGCTAAGATGGTCGGCCTTGTTGGGCTGAAATCCACAGGGAAGTCCAGCACTCTCTCGCACTTCCTGAGAGAGAAGCCAAATCCCTTCTACCTGGAGCTCACGGATGGCAACCTCTACGACGCAATGTATGACAAGATGAAACATTCAGTCCTTCGTCTCCCCTTCTTCGCAGACCATCTTCGGTGGGATGCTGGGAAGAACAGCAAGACGATCGTCATCGAAGTCTTCGAGTTGGTGCAGGAGCAGACAGGCTCGCCGGTGCAGGTGGGGGTGGATGTGGTGTTGAACCCCTCGACATTGCCTGTAGAGGGGGCAGACAAAGCAGTGAAGACTGTGCAGGGTGTGCTGTTGGGAACGGCAAGCTCAGTCCCATTTTTCAGGTTAATCAACATCATCAAGCTCGTCAAGGATGTGAAGTGGCTTTGCGCTGATGCGAGGGTGGCTTCGGCAGTCATAGCATCCAGCGAGGGCTTGGAGCTTCTGAGTGTGAATGAGCCAAGGCTTGTGAAGCTGATGGCAAAGGAAATGCCACTCGAAAAAGCCAAGGAGTACCTCCAGCACATCCATGCCAAGGGCTACACGGAAGAGATGCTCAAGAACATCCCACGAACCTTCGAGAGCCTTCAACAGTTCAAGATAGCAGAGGACAAGGAGGACTTTTGCCAGAAGGAGATGGAGGTGTGGATAAAGAGAGTAGAGGAATCTCAAGGGCATTGCTCCAACGAAGGCAAGGATGGAGGCCTCACGGCCGCGAAAGCTCTCTACAGCAAAGCGCTTGGCGGAGCAGTCAACTACAGAGACATTTGCCAGCACTGCAAAGATGAGCCGAACTTCACAGCGAATTTCGTGAGACCCAACCTTTTTACCCCCACAGCAGGTGCGAAGTACAAGTTCCAATTCGATTGTGTAGCCGAGGCAGCAAAGATTGTGTTCGGCCCGTGAATGCCCATTGTCCATTTGAAGGTGGCAACCATTCAATGCCACTGCAAGTTTGAACAGGTCATGAAGAGTACAGAGGGAGAACCGTGCATGTGAAGAGCAGAGAGATACGAAAGTGTTGCATCAGCATCAGAGCACACGATGACTTTGTCTAGGAGCAATATATGAACAATGCTGTAGTGCAGAAGTTGCAATCTTCTCATCTGTTTCTGCCTTCCATCATGCCACCCACCTGTTGAAGCGCTTGCGCTGAGGTATTGACGTGGAGGAGGAGAAGGGCGAAGGGGACTACCCACCTGCGCACACGCACACATACCTGTTACACTATACCCCTTTACATCCTTTACCCTTTCATCCATCCTTTCGGTTGGAAGGGACGCTCTCGCGACAGCGTGGGGCAACCGCTTGGAAGGGAGTGGTAGCTTTGAGATTTTAAACATGAACATTTTCATATACAACAAATCGATTTTTTATTTAATGAGGCTGACGCCTCGCTGCCGCCGACCCCAAAAAAGGTGAACGCGCCAGACACAGACACGGGGGACCAGAGGCACCCTCACAACTGCAGGCCTAGCATGTGTATAAGAACGGGTTGGCTGATCGCAATTTTGGAACCCAGCCCGGTGGTTCTCCACTCCGTCTGGCCTGTCAGGGTTCTGTTTCTTTTTCTTATGGCAGTGCAAGCTTCGCCACTGATGTTCAGTGCAGTGCCAGCAGATCCCTGCATTGCGAGGAGCTGGGGGAAGATCTTTGGTGTACCCTCAAAATTGCCATCCCCTGAATACTACAGTAATCGCTTTATCATCACATAGTGGGCCCTCACAGCAACCTCGTCAAAGCTAGACAGATCCGAGGTTTGGAGTTTGGTTTTGGATTACGGATTTTAGTTTTTGGATTTTGCGCACGGTTCGGACCCTGCCTAGCATATACACTGTATCTCGCCAGATTGTCTTTGGATCTCGGTGTGTTTTAGTTTGCTAGCGCCAGTCCTGAATGCAAGAAATGCCGTGCCATGGTGCGCTATTCCAACAACGGGCAGCCTCTGACAATCAGAACCTCACCATTCTGCCCGCGGTTTGTATTGAAGACCGTTTCCCACTTTGCAACAGGTGGTTATCCGACGAAAACTTTCGCCGGACTTTCAGTATCACTTTTTCTCTTCCAACATTATCTGACAAGAAGCAGTTTTCAATCTTGCAGAATATTGGTGGAACTAGGAAGATCTTCGGAAAGCGGTAAGGCTGTATAAAGGGCAAGTAAAACTTTAAAAAAAGGTGCTCGGAATCAATCTTGAAACCCTGCAGACCAGCGTTCTTGCGCACTGCGCGTCAAAATCTAAAACCTTCTGGCGACAATGTATCCTCATGAGTCTCATTAAGCAACAGGTGCAAGAAGTGTCACAGGTAGACGCATCAACAAGGAATATGCGGGCATTGGTCTGAAAGGTTTCCAAGGAAGGTTTATAGAAGGGCTTTAAGAAGGATTTGTGTCTGCAAAAGATCTCGTGGAAAGGCTTTTTATGGCTAGATTTTCGAGAGATTTTCGAAGGATGCATAGGTTTACAGAAATGGCACAGAAGGTTTTATGATGTGGACGAGTTGAAGGATGGATGGATGGATGGATGGATGGATGGATGGATGGATGGATGGATGATCGGATCGATGAATGGGTGATGGATGGATGGATGGATTGATGAATGGGGGGATGGTTGGATGAATGGATGCATGGATGAAAGAATGAATGGATGAATGGATGAGCGGACGAATGGATGAACAGAGTTCGGTGAGACATCGCTGCTCTGAACGATTTTGGGAGACTCGGTCTACAGAGTGTGGCACAGTACAGAACTATGTGACTTGGCTATGAGCGGCCTTTTGAGAAATAAGGCTGGTTTGCATCTGTTAAGTCAATTCAGCATGTTGTGTGCCTGTGTTTGCGAATGAAAGGATGGGCGTTGAATGACGATACATGCGTTCTGTTGCTATCGCAAACATCAGTGCGAAGCTGGGGTTAGCCAAACTTGGGTAGCCCACCTTCCGAGCACAAGCCTGCGGCCATTGTGAACACACTGGCGAGTCCGCTGGGTCAACAGAGCACCAAATCAAACAAATCAAAAACGTGCGTGAAATCGAAACTCCGCTTCTTCAAGCTTTTCAGGGGCACGAGTGCTGGAGGAAATGCGGTCTAAGCTTTCCCAGCGACGAAATTTTGCAGATTGCATTTGTTGCCTCAAACAGTGGGCTGGCTCAAGATTGCAATTACGCTTTGACCTTCGAGCAGCAGAGGCGACGGGTGAAGAAATGGCAAGAAGTGTTGGGACTCCAGGATGTTCTTGGCCGGTCAGGATCATGGCGTCGCGTTGGTATCTGCCGATCATTTCTATGACCGGCTTCGTGCGAGGCAATTGCAGTGTGGATCTGTGCACACAAGTCAGTGTTCAAGCCAGAAGCACATTCCTTGATTTGTCTCTGCTCACGGGCCCGCATGCAGCCGCTTGGGGAATAGCGGAGTTGGCTACGTGCTGATGCGTGAGAACCTGTTTTGTCGGCAAGGTTGGCGTGCCCGCCCATTCCCCTAGCATCCAAACAGAGCGGGCTCCTTGCAACAGCTTGCTGTTGGTTTGGCTAGTGAACGTTTGTTGAGTGGCAGGCTGTAGGCAAGTGCAATCTGTAGCACGGGTGTCTCGGGTTTCGCCTAGCACGTGGCTGCAGGTGCATTGAGTTCACCGGCATGGCAGGTAAACTTGGGGCTCTAGCCTGAGGTGTCCTGCATCAGGTCGAAGGATCACGGGACGTAGTAATTAAGGTTATGCTTGAGGTAGCTGTGGTTATGATTACTTCTGATCCCGTTGAAGGGGTCCACGTAGGGCCAAAGAATGTCCAGTGCATCCCTTGCGACAGCAGCAGTTCCGACCGCTTAGGTCATGCGCGGTCCAAGAAGATGGCTGCATTGCCAGCACGGACGCGCCGGCCAACCAGATGCCGGGTTCTTGTTACGGAAGTTAGTTTAAGTTACTATCATACGGGTCTGTAGTACATCATATGGTTTCCTTATTGTAGTAACTTAAACTACGTCCCTGAACAAGAACCCAGGATGCGTGACATCTCCTGCTTGATCGGGCTCGAACATGGCAACAGGCGGAGGGATGATAGGGGTTATTCGGTATGGCACCGTCGCATGCCTGGATTTTTTTAGGATTTAGGTTTTAGGGTTAGGGTTTAGGGTGTACGTTTGTACACAGGTTGTTCCTGTTTTGGGACACGCTGTGTGCACGCATCGCTTGGAGCCTCGTGAACTCGTACCCAAAACGACGTGGAATCCTGTTGTGACAATCAGGAACCATGATCAATATGAAGATGATAATGGCGGTGATGATGATGATAATGATGATGACTGCAATCATGATGATGACGATATGCATGTTGACGACGACAATGATTGCTGTGCTGCTTTTGTCGCATCTTCTTTGATGCAGTCAATCCTTCTAAGTAACTTCTTGGCTCAGTGAAGGGACATCGAGATCGAGATCGTGCCCGTCTCGACCAACGACAGCCAGCAGGGCAAAATGATGCAGGAGAGCATCGGGTTGGGTCCGTCAGGGCTGAGGTTCTCGTCCAGACATTCGGTAACAGAGCACCAACGCCAACTCTGAGGTGCCTGAACTCCCAGGCCCAAACATCCTCAAGCTCTCACATCGAAGACTCCCCAGGGCTGGAAGCTGTGCCGTGCAGAGGCTGAGGCCAGGGCGAGTTGCATGGCGGCTTTCGGGTTGCTTCAGGGTTTTTACAGTTGTGGAGCTGCTGGGCCTAGTCCGGACTCTGAAGGCACGGACATGTCTCGGCGCAGGGTCTACGGACCCAGGCATCTTCATGTCGGCTCTGTTGTCTTGCGCCGCATGCCCATACATGTTGATCATTTTGGGTACGAACTTCCAGTCGAAGGAGTAGAGCACTTTTTGGGGTCTGAAGGTGCGCTAGAATGCCGCTCTGCTTCGCGAGGACAGTCTGGTGTTGGCGAGGTCGGAGAACCACACGGGGACGCCAGGGGAAGGCCCTCGCAGGGTTTACAGACGGCTGTGGGATTGTCATTATGAGGCTTACACTGTGGAATAATTATTATGAGGCTTACTATAATGACTACTATGATGGTATGAGTGGCTTCTGATTGTCAGAGCTTTCTAATGAGGGTTGCTATGAGGGTTACTATGCCGCCGAATGGCAAATGAACATGTGCGGAGCAATCCAAGGGGCTAAGCGGAATAGACTACTAATTATTGCTGCCCATGAAGCGATCCATCGGCGGCGCCCATGCAACAGTCACAGCCATGAAAGTCTCTGCAATGTCATTTTCCGACGGAGCAGCTAAGAGATTTTTCCGGAGTGTTCTGGAGTATGCAGCTGATACCGTGCCGCTTCACTGAGTTTACACATTCTCCGTCTGCCCACCACCACATCCTGGAGCTGAAAGTTTTGCTGTCCGGGCTCAGGAGCCTGGAAGCTTGTCAGTGGGTCCGTGCCCCAGCTGCTTCTGCAGTGCCTCTCCCTGCAAGGTCTCGGTTCGGTCAGTCACAATCCCGAGCACATGCACAGCAGACCTGCGCGTACGGCGTTTGCAAGTCTTCGAACCCTAAACCCCCAAGCCGCCTTCGCACACGTCATCAGCCACAAGGCACCGCTCGCACGGGTTTTGCATGGTTTTGCAGCATGTCTGAAGCACGCGGCGCATGTGCAGCAGGATGAAGGAAGGCCGCCAGCAAGACTTTGATTGAACAGGTGGATGCTTCCCGAGGCCTTGTCGGCACGCCCTCAGCTCCAATGTTCAATGCTCATGGTCTCATCTTCCCATCCGATCAAAGAAGCCGCAAGCGGAAGACGTGGACCGCAGCATGAACTCAGCAGCGGCATTCCTCGGGCAGACTTTCTCAAGCCGCAAGTGGGACTTGCACACTCGACGGGAAGGCTTACTGCTTGCCACTCTCCACTTTCCACTCGTTTTGGCGACCAAGGCCGTGCAAAGTCGGAGGAGATTGCATCCTCACGAAGGAGTTTCCGAGCATGCAAAGCTGCGTGGTGAAGATTGCGCCTGGCAGGCACTCCTCGACGTAACAGCTGCAATCGGAGGGCTTGTGCATCTGGGGTTTGCTGCGTTTGCTTGGCAGGTTCGCGGAGGTACAGGCCTTTCTGACTGGAGTGCAGAAGGAGGCAGGAGAGAGACAAAAGCCACGTCTGCCCCTCCAAGTCGCAGTCTCCCTGTGGCAGACTGACAGGACGGGTCCACGCAGATTCTTTGTGCGAGGTCCAGCAAAACTTTGCAGGAGCACGTTGTTCGCCACCTTTGCACCACCACCAAATGGACCTGGACCCATGCGTGACTGCAAAGGAGCCTCGCCCCCGCGCGCTGCAGGCTTCATGGGATGCCGTCGTCAGCTGCGGCTTCGAGGCCCGGGTGTGGGAGGCTCTCCAAAAGGGTATCCATCGGTGTCTCGGTGCTCTGAGAGCATCTCTGAGGTCGACTTCTGCGGTTGGTCCACCGGAGAGAATGCTTGGCTGCGACGTTCAGGAAGTACTCCGAGCCCAAACACCGGACCGGTTGAGGCCACAGAAGGTGACTGGTACATTTACACAGAAGCCAGTTCTGGCAATGATAACAAGGCAGGACCACTGGACAAAACAAAGGATCATGCACGATAGTACATCTTCACAAGTCCCGCATGCAGGAGTTCATCCTCACCAGTGACGTGTTCCACCCATCACCGACAACCCGGCATCTTCACTTCTCTTTCCATATGCTTGGGAACGACATGGGCAGCTTGCGAATGGAGACATTGCGAAGCAGTGGCTGGACGCATGCTTGGTCACGAATCGGAGCGCAAGGGCCGCAATGGGGCCTGGCATTGGTGACGCTGCCCCAGGATGCGAGGGCTGTGCGCTTTGTGGGCACCACAGGCAACGGCTGGCAGAGCGATGTGGCGTTGGATGGCATCGCCAC